AGTACTGGAAACCGTAACCGAAATATCAAAAGTAAGAGATAAGAAACAACAGTATGAGAAGTTCTGGAAACATCAAACTTCCATATTTCCAGTCTTTCCATCTTCAAATTTATCTCTTTTTTTTGGCTGCCATAATGCTTTTTCTAAAATATAATCCAAATCAAGTGGATTCTCTGATCAAAAGCCTTTAATAACTTCGTATAATTTCATAAATTGTCTAAATTCCAAGAATCAACAGTGTAAAAATCTCTACAACGTGGTTTCAACTTCCCCTTATTCTTATATTTTTTTTCATTTGCTCCCTCACTCTATTTCATCCTCTCTCCCTTTCTTCCAGAATATTAAACATCCAGAATATACCAAAGTAGTAAGACATATGGGGGAATGAGTCATCCTCCAAAGACCTCCAGTCAATACTCTTCTGCAAAGGTCCACAATGCATTCTATATGCTCTGGTCCTGCTGTCTTTGCTCTACTATGTTTCCACTGCTCACTGCATCTCACCTTTCCTTTACTTCCAATGCCATCTCCATCACCATCTCTTTCCCCTTATACCTCTCATTCCAAACTCATCTTCTTCCTGAACACTCCACAACCTAGGGTGCCTACCTTCTCTGTGCCTTTTACAGTATATCTTTCCTTCATTAAAAAATTTCTTTCTAATCATGAAAGTAATACATACTCATTCCATAAGACTTTGAGAATGGAAATAAGTGCAAAAAGAAAATACAGTACATGGTCTTGTATGACAGAGTAGTCACTGAGAATATGAATGTCCAGATTCTAGTCCCATCTCTGCCACTTAGAATGTTGAGCATGGCATTCATCCACTTTAGGCCTTGAATTTTTTCTCCTCTGAAAAGCGGGAACTGTGTTCCTGATCTGTAAGAACCATTCTGGCTGTGGAATTCAATGTCTAATTTACATGTATGTAAATGTGTATCATGTGTCTTTTCTCCTCCATCGGGCAGTGATAGGCTCTTCCTTGCCCCACCCAGTCCTTGGCCCACAGTGGATCATCCAGGCACTTTGGAAGAACCGACGCATGTGTTGAGAGTCTCATAATTTTATTTCCAATAGACTCAACTTGTAATAATTTTCAGCCATTGAATCACATTTGTCATCTAGCTTATTAAATAGTGAAACATACTGAATTTGAATTTTATTATTACATTTAGAGTTTATTATACTACATTTCTCTGTACACTTCTGCTTTCCTTTTTTCCCCTTCTAACTTAAAATGATAGCACCAAGCAAAACATTAAAATTCTATCCACTCAAACGACACTTAAATTGATTTTGTTCAAATTCAATGCAATCCATACAATGAGTCTGTATTTAATGCTACCCTCTCTTCTGAAATTCGAAAAGTTTTTTTTCTGTCTAGAGCTCTGTGAGTTGAAAACTGAAAAAAACAAAACAAAAAAACCCACTAAGACAGTGGCAACTTTATCATAAGATTCATGTTAGCAGTATTAGCAGTATTGGGAAACTGGATTAGGGTAAGGATTTATAAATCCCTACAGTTCCTTAGAGTTTCTACACAATTTTTTAGGAAGTCATTTAATAACACATCTCCTTTTGCCTAAATATGATATCCAGGAAGCCCTTCATTTATGTTTGCTACATAATTACCCTTCAGAGTCAGTTCCTGAGTTTTACATAAGTAACCAATGGGTGTTTTGTTTCCTCTAGACTTCTGGATATGGGGGGTGGGTAGGATGGCATCAGAAAGCTAGCGCTGGGACTGCCACTTGTTGGCTGGGTGAGGGTGGGCAAATGACAACGTCCTGTGACTGTGTTTCAATTTCTTTACAAAATTGCCTTTCTTTGCAAATTGTGGTGAAGGTCACTTAAGATGATATGAGAAAACCTTTTGAAAACTACAAAGCTTCATAAGAAGTGGCAAAGGTAATTCTCCTTTAGAACTGACCCCAGGGTTCATGAGAAAGCTATCTCAGGCCACCTCTCATGTAAAATCTCTTTTCTTGGCTGGGGACGAAGAGAGGTGAGGGACTGATTTACTTTATATTTTGCTTTAACACTGGCAATATTAATGGGTAAACAGAACTTCTGTGTTGATGTCTTAATTGTTTTCATCTACTATTTCCTGTTATTAGAAGAATTTCTCTGGGCTCCCTATAAATGTATTAGAAATTATTTGGTTAGGATTTTATACTCATGGTAATTAGCACTCTGAAGCGTATAAGCAAGTAAGCACCCTCACATTATGAGGTCCCTCTTTAACATGCCAGTATGATGTCCTGTTATGCCAGAGGGATGAAAAAATCAACCAAACAAACAAAAATTTGTTACTGTCAAATGTGAAAGAGCAGGAAACAAGATATCACAGGGAATTAATTTCATAAATTTTGAAAAGTCACCCTCTTGTTTGCTCTCTGGTAGTATAAAAATCTATCACAAAAAATAGCCCCCTTCCCCGCACCCTGCCCAGTTAAGATGGAAGCAAAGCAGTCAAAAGGAGAAACACCAAATGTTACGTTCTTTGCCCCCGCCAGTTTTATTGAGATATAATTGACATATAACATTGTATTAGTTTAAGGTGTACAACAAATTAACTTGACATACATGTATATTGTGAAATGATCACCACAATAAGTTTATTTAACATCCATCACCACGCATACAGTTTTTTTTCTTGTGACGAGAACTTTTAAAATTGCTCTCTTAGCAACTTTCAGTTATACAATACAGTATTATTAATTATAGCTGAATGTTATCTTCTAAACTGGTCTGCTAATATCATGTTAGATTCTGCCACCTGCTCCCTTCCAGCTATTTTTTAACCAGAAGCTTCTGAGGCAAAACAACTCTTTTCTGCTAATGTAGCAGATCCTTGGCATAAGCTCTGTGTTTTGAAATAGTGGTTTACTTAGGTCAAATAGGTCGATATGTTTGAGTTACTGAATTTTTATTAGATTTTAAAATATATGTATAATAGCTTACATAATTTTTTTCCCTCATACATAGTATCCTATTCATTTTTACCGAATTGGAGTGCAAAAACAAGCTCCAGAGAGGTCAAGTATAATTTGCCCAAGGCCATGTAACTATTGGAGAACTAAGTGTGACTTGCTTTCAAGCCCCCAATTCCTTCCTTTTCCTTCACGACATTCCCGATCATTTTCTCAGCAGTAGCAATTTTTCTCTGATCAATACTCTTAGAATTCTTCTTCCTGGACTATGTTACTTCTCACTTTGAAGGATGCAATTCTATTGGTGATTTGGCAAAAATCGGTAGATGTCGTGCCACCTGGTCATAGATGGCGCTCTCACCCAGAAGTAACAGGAGGAAACAGTTTTAAAATAAGATATCACAACTGTTTAAACTCTCTCATCAAGGCCATTTTCATCAACTAAGTTTCTAAGTTACTATCTTATTTTTTTTGCACAAGGAAGTCATCTTTTGGAAGGATGCTGTCCTCCACCAGGTTTTCATGGGGAACAATCAGACATTTCAAATCTCATTATCTGACAGAGTCAGGCCTCCTAATAGAAGGAGAACAAAGACAAAAAGGCAATTTGTGTGGGAGGAAAAAGGGAATCAGTTTGCTCTTTGACTAATAGATGCGAGAACACTGGACCATAAATCCCAGGTAGACCTCTTTCTTCTCAGTTCAGAGGCTGCCTCCTGACCCACTCTGTAATGGGAACAAATACTTAACGGAGGGCAATTGTAACAGACCATTTTCACTAGAGGCTGCAGACATTTTTCTTTCAACTCTTACTTGACAATTGTGGTCCCAGGTGGGTGATAGCAGAAGACTCACATCACTTTCTGGACCTACTCACGACTATCACGATGCCAGCTTGTCCTAGTTTATTAGGCTTCCTACCTTTCCAGGCAGTCAAATAGTTATTATTTTAGAGAGATCAATGTAGTGTCAACATGGCATCTAAAATATAGAACAGGCCAAATGTATGCTGTCCTGTGTGAGGAACTGTTGCCGAATGTCAATGAGATTAAATGAATATGTATTAAGCTCTAGCCATGGGTCAGGCACTGATTTGTGTACTTTCGTTACCCAAGGTTTTTCTTTTAATTGGAGCAACCACTCTCCTACAAGATTGGCAGAATAGACTAACTTATATCTGGTTAACCCATAACTGAACTATTTTATTGCTGTTTATAATTTAGCCTCCTCATTCATCTGAACCAGTTCCTGGGTGAACCAGTTTGAAAGACAACTGATCCTCATAGAGTGTTTTTCACTGGCAGGTCCACTAATCTCTCTTGGCTTTCCATTGGCTGCCAGCTAAGAGATGGAGGGGAATTTGTTTATTCCATTTTCAGATGGGAATCCTCTATGTATCTGAAAAACAACTAGCCACCTGGTACAACTTGGTAGGCTAGTTAAAAAGACCAGATTGTACAGAGTCAGATAGATCAGGGTTTGAATCCCAGCTCTACCTCATCATCGCTGTGTCGCATTAGGCAAGTTACTTTATGTCTCTGGGGCTCACTTTACTTATCTGTAACATGAGGATGACAAAACCTATCTCACTGGGTTATTGTGAAGGTTAAATCAGATAATGTTTGTTAAGCACACTGGAGATTGGGTGATCAGCAAGAGGGAGGGGCAAGAGTTGAGGAGGAAAGCTTTGTGAGACATGGTCCATTAACCAAACATGTGATATCACAGTGCAAAGAAGACAGGGAAAGGGTGAGTGGTCAAGATGTTTCCAGGCATTATGACCCCTAAATGAAGGCTTTGATGAGGTGAAAACACTAACTACAACCAAAGACAGCAGCTTTTCCAAAATGGCCCCATTAAATGTTTAATTGGGCGAGAATATTTTGTGGGTTTCCACATGCCAGGAACCTTATGCAGTGTTTTATTATTTCCCTAAATGTCTTTCTCACTATAGAGTGATGTAAACTCAAAGCTCGCTGGAAAATCTACCTGCTTGCTCTGTTAGAGAACATAAACTGGTTATTGTGGTGAGAGTATTTTCTTTCTTTGATGTGTCTCTTTTAGGACAGTCTTTCCTGCTCGCTTTGAGAAGATGGTGGGAACAGTGAGTGAAATGATTTACTGGGAAGATAAGTGAAGGAGGCTTCAGGTGATCAACGGGCTCTGTGAAGCTGGAGGTTACCAAAAGGTCAGGCTGAAGGGCTGCATTCTAGAGAGCTAATATTGGGTGAATTGGGTTGTTCTTATTTCACCCAAGAGGTAATTGTCCCCCAAAATGCATTGCTGCAATATTTCAGATCATCTTGATTATATAAAATCTTCCATATATTGTACTCTCTCCTCTGGGCAGCGCTGGCCTAGATAAGTCCTGTGGGGAATGGAGAGGAAGCACACGATATGGTCTCTGCTCTCAAGGACCTTATTTAGCTAAAAAGAGAGAACAGAAAACTAAGAAATAATATAAGATACATTCAGTATCCTCTTGATCCTGAATATAAGTGGAATAAGAGACTAAATCTTTATGTTCTGGCAGATGCCGATCACTGATGAAATATTCATCAAACCATCTCAAAATGGAGAGGAAATGGGGACAATATTTTAACATTAGTATATAACATTAGTGTATGTTATACTATATTTGCATTGACAGGTGAGTATGTTGGGGCAGCAAGAGAAGACTTCTGGGGGAAGGAGGACCTTGCTGATAAAAAGAATATGTATTAGGGACAAGTCGCTAATACAATGAGATGATTAGGTAAAGGCCAGGTTAAGAAGTTAGATTTCGTACAGTAGAGAATAAGGAGCCATCCGTTGTCTTGAACTAGAAAATGACATAATGAAAACTGTATTTAGGAAGGTGGGTTTTTCATTATGGCATAAGATAAATTAGAAGAGAGTGAAATGATTATCAGAAAAATCACTTATAGAAATTCCACCCAGAGTTACTAGAAGCCAGGTGGTAGTCAAAAAATTTTCAAATGGAAGATTCAACTAAGAGGAAGAAAATCAAGGAGTGTAGTACTTGAGATTAATCCATGGATTTCCAAGCTGCTGTTGCTTGTACAGTCAGAAAGTGAAAGTTAGGATCTTTTCTTTCTTTGTCTTACTGCATCACGCTGGGCAGCATAACAGAATTGTCAAGAGGGTGGGCTCTGGCCTGAGTGTTAATCTTGGCTTCATCTCTTACCAATTGTGCAACCTCGAGGAATTTAAGCTTCACTTTTCTCATATGAACTATATGAAACACAGTGTTACCAATGTCATAAGGCCATTGTGAAGATTAAAAGAGATAATGCAAGTAACATGCTCAGCAGAGCGAATGGTCTAGAGCAGACTCTGAATAAGCAAAGTCACTGTTTTTATCTGTGTGTTCTTTGGCAAGACACTTACTCAATCTGAGCCCCAGGACACTCAACTGTGAAAGGAGATGAATCAGAACTACCTTGAACAATTATTGTGAGAATTAGAAGAGATCGATGTGAAAGCACTTTGAAAAATGTAATTTTCTGTATGGGTGCTAGTTTTTATGGTTATTGTTTTTCGTAATAACTGGTGTCAAATATAAACCATGTGTCCAGAACCTGAGCTAACATAGGTTCCTTTACATTTAAACGGTCTACTGGGTTTATCAGAGATGTAATAATCTACAGCATTTTCTTAGGTTATGGGCCTGGCTCTGAGCAGAAAGTGCTGAGCTGGCCAAGGAGAGGTGACAGAGGTTTGTGTTAGGTAGATCCCCCAGATGATGTCATGAAGGCCTTTCAGTTTAGCCAAGTGTCATAAAGCCCAGGTTTCTCTGGTACCACCTGAACAGGCTTCTCCTGAGCCAATTGTACAAGCCCAGTAACCTCTGCTTTCTGATGAATAATTCAGGCCCATTCAGTAAATCAGCAAACAATTCTCAAGCACGTACCATGCGCCGTACCCAATGCTAGGTATTGCGATTACAGGGAGGAATCACTGAAACTTGCTACTAGAAGATGCTTATACTCTGGTGAAGAGAAGAAACCAGACTACAGGCAGAGCAGCCATGTGAAGCTTCTGGATGGCTCTGGCTCTCACACTGAGCACTGTGTAGAGTAGTGAATACAGCTCAGGGCACGGTGTCCGGAGATGCTCAGCCAATTACTAGCTATGTGACGTTGGTTGAGAAAATTAATCCAACCCTTGGTTTCTGCAGCTAGACAATGGTAACTATATACACCTCCTACGATGGACTCCAACCCTTGGTTTCTGCATCTAGACAATGGTAACTATATACACCTCCTACGATGGTTAAAGATATTAAAAGAGAGAATCAGTGTCTGGCCAAGAATAAGCTCTCAACAGATGGCAGCTGTTTTTACGACAGAGGGAGAGTATAACATGCACACACACAGGGCGAGACCTATTCCAGGTGACCATACCTCTCTTTAGTAGTTGTCTACAGCTGAAGAAAAAAACAGGATCTGGACAAGACTTTTGGTCAGTGAACATTAACTTTTGTTATTTTCCATCAGCTAAACTCTCAGATATATCTTTTCACATGTATTATTTCTATAATCCCTAAAACAGCCAAAGAAGAATATCATAACCCCAACTTCTAGATTAAAAACATGAGGCTCTGAGAATCTAAAATTTTTGGCCCAAGGAACACAGGTAATCAGAAGTAGGCCTGGATTTGAACCCAAGTATTTTCAGTTTTACCACATAAGAGGAGATCTACCCACAGCTGTTTTCTTCTTATTCTCAGTAAAATCTAGATATTTGAACTTTCAGTTTACTATTTGCCACTGCTACCACTTATGCAGCCTGGATTATATATAAAATCATCAAATGTTTTATTATTTTGTTCAAAGGGTATATCTAGATATGTTTGAATGATATTTGATTCTATAAATAATGTTATATGAATCGCCCATCTATGAATTAAGACAAATTTCTTAGGGAATTTGCTTATGTTTGCATAGTGATATGCCATTCCAAACTATTATCATGGCAGACATTGTATTGTAATCAATGTAAGGGGTGGGGTGAGGATAGAAATTGGACATCTATCCTTGCTATGTACACTGTCACATTATTCCATTCAATCCTTAGAGGATTCGTCCAGTCAACAAATAATTATTGGATTCCTCTTCTGTTTCAGGTATTCTGGGTATTAAGGGTACAGAATCAAACAAAACAAAATCCATGCCTTTGTGGAAATTAACATTCTCTTGGGAGATGTAAACAATAAATAAAATATATATGCCAGTTAGACAGAAGTGCTATGAAGAAAAATAAAGCATAGAAAGGAAATGGAGATTTTGGCTTTTATTCTAAATGAGATGGAAGCCACTGGAGGGTTTTAAGAAGAATGATGTGATCTGCCTCATATTTGAAAAAGTTCACGCTGGCAGCAAACAGCACAGAGACTGTATGGATGGCTTTGCAATAACCCAGGTAAGAGAGGATGGTGGCTTAGACTTGAGTGGTGGCTGTCTAAGTGAGAAGAAGTGGTTGGATTTGTGATATGTTTGAAAGGTAGAGCTGACAGCATTTGCAGATGGATGGGATAAGGAGTATGAGAGAAAGACAGAAGCCAAGGATGACTCCAAGGCTTTTGGAACTGGAAGAATGAATGGAGTTACCTTTAATGGGGACAGAGAAGACTACTGAGGAGCTGCTAATTAGCAGCTTACTCACACCCGCACATTGCAGCTTCCCCGCCACCCAACCCATTCCAACTGGGCAAAACCTACAAAATGGTGAAATCACTTCAATCCAGTTCATAAGCAGTTCATAACCATTGTGGATAAATGCCTTGCCAAAGGCTCTGAAAACAACTCTCTTTCTTCCCCTTTAGACTAATTAGGAAGCAAATTCTTGTGAAATTAGAGTGCTCTAGTAAATTCAAGCCAAACTCTTGGTCAACTTGTTGATTATGGAAAATGGGGTTTTCTTGGCAACTTTTCCATATGTTTCCACTGCTTTTCTCTATCCAAGAGATGGGCCTAGATGCCAAGTTCTTTATTTTTCTCTAAGTTACATCTCTTTTGATAAACTGTCTTATGGGTAAGGAACTACCACAGTGGTTATTTATATTTGGTCTTAGACTAAAGAACATCAACCAGAGGGAAATAAATAACAAAAATATGGCTGTCTCATTGGACTCATAAAGGGATAACTTTAGTGAGATTCTAGGACATAGCACCCCTGGCAGACATGGACTTAGTCCAGCCTTCTTGTGGAGGATGTTTATCTGGTTGGCCACCCCTGGCCCCCAAAGTAACCAAGGCAAGACTTAAACCTCCCAGAACAGATGTCACTCTATTCCTGTGCCTGCAAAGATTTTCTAACTCAAGGTCTTATAACAGACAACAATGGGAGTAGTTGAACATGATTGAATCTCCACCTTGGAATGAAATCTATATAAAGCTAATTCACAATTGACTTGGGTATATTTATATATAATGTACCATAAATAACAGAGCGAGTGCTGGTATAAACTCTCAATTTTCTTGCTCTACAGAACAAATAAAAATGTTAAACCAGTGCAGCTCACATAAGTTTATTCATGTTGATGTGTTCATTCACTCATTAATTTACTCATTTATTTACTCATTTCATAAACATTTTTAGCAACACTTGTGTGCCAGCCATTGTGCTAGAAATTACTAGAGTAGCCTCAGGAAGCTCACAGTCTGTTGTAGGAATGAGGAGGGGAAAAAGCACCTATGCCTACAGTATTGCAGGCACTATATTAGGACCTGGGGATACAGCAGTAACAAGACAGATAAGGTCCCTGCTCATAGATCTTACAGAAATTAAATAAGGAAACATACAAATGTGGTTAGATATATGATTATTTTAGGGACTTGTGTCATGCAGACAGAAAGAGAAAGGTGATAATTGGATAGAGAGCAAATGGTGTACAGGATTGAAGTATTTTAGAAAGAGTGGTTAGTATTTTAGAAAGAGAGGACAATGATCCAAAGAAAAAAACATGCCAGAAAGAAGGAACACAAAAGTCAGTTGAGGTAGAACAATATGGAAAGAGAGAGGAAAGGAACAGAGAGTGGTCTAGTATGTATAGAGCTTGGCAAAGAATGAACTAGTGGAGTGGCATGAGGTTGAGTAGGGAGGCAGGGGCCAAATCACTGGGACTTTGTGGTTAAGTAGTTTGGTTTTTGCTCTAAGTGAAATTGGATGCTATTGAAGGGTTTT